ACCTGGTGAATGCTAAGAGATTGTTTGTTGTTTAATGCCGCACTCAGCAATTTCCATCAATATGAAGGCAGTCTGTAAATAATCAAGTCTGGACCAAACAATCCAGTGATTAATATCATGAGCTTTCCTCCATCAATATGGATACAATGACCACCTGATCCTGGTAGTCACCTCTTACCACAAGCATAATCACCTTTTATGAGAAGCATGAGTTCCTGAAGACCTTTTCTACCCTTTGATCTTCAGGAGGCCTAAGTACTTGAGTTATTAACCATCACACTACTACAGAACTTGCAACTCAGCCTTGCAACTCCAGCATACCAATCAACCAATGTACTGACTATCTGGTTCTGAGTTGTCTAGAACTTAGCCAGTTTAAGGATAGCTAAGATGTACCAAACTATATACCTGGTGACCCTGTGTAGGGATGTGTCCACATAACAGAACGCTATATAGGATTTAATAACTTAGTCTTCACAATATACAGGGGCGGTCGGGTAGCCTAGTGGTTCAAGCGTTCGCTCGTCACGCCGAAGACCCGGGTTCAATTCCCGACATGGGTACAATGTGTGAAGCCCATTTCTGGTGTCCCCCGCCGTGATATTGCTGGAATATTGCTAAAAGCGGCGTAAAACCATACTCACTCACTCATTCACAATATACAGATATACTTATAATGTGTGCAAGCATATATTAACCTTTCTCACATATATGTAGGCATATATATTCACCCTTCCTACAAAATAGTATGTACATGCATACCTATCTTCATACACTACTGAGTTTCAGCCATCATCCTCTACATCAGCCCATCACACATCTTCACACACAGGTTCAGCCCATCACACATCTTCACACACAGGTTCAGCCCATCACACATCTTCACACACAGGTTCAGCCCATCACACACAGGTCCAGCCCATCACACATCTTCACACACAGGTTCAGCCCATCACACATCTTCACACAGGTTCAGCCCATCACACATCTTCACACACAGGTTCAGCCCATCACACATCTTCACACACAGGTTCAGCCCATCACACATCTTCACACAGGTTCAGCCCATCACACATCTTCACACACAGGTTCAGCCCATCACACATCTTCACACACAGGTTCAGCCCATCACGAATCTTCACACACAGGTTCAGCCCATCACGAATCTTCACACACAGGTTCAGCCCATCACACATCTTCACACAGGTTCAGCCCATCACACATCTTCACACAGGTTCAGCCCATCACACATCTTCACACACAGGTTCAGCCCATCACACATCTTCACACACAGGTTCAGCCCATTACACATCTTCACACAGGTTCAGCCCATCCCATATCTTCACACACAGGTTCAGCCCATCACGAATCTTCACACACAGGTTCAGCCCATCACACATCTTCACACAGGTTCAGCTTATCACACATCTTCACACACAGGTTCAGCCCATCACACATCTTCACACACAGGTTCAGCCCATCACGAATCTTCACACACAGGTTCAGCCCATCACGAATCTTCACACACAGGTTCAGCCCATCACACACAGGTTCAGCCCATCACACACAGGTTCAGCCCATCACACATCTTCACACAGGTTCAGCCCATCACACATCTTCACACACAGGTTAGGCCCATCACACATCTTCACACACAGGTTCAGCCCATCACACATGTTCACACACAGGTTCAGCCCATCACACACAGGTCCAGCCCATCACATATCTTCACACACAGGTTCATCCCATCACACATCTTCACACAGGTTCAGCCCATCACACATCTTCACACACAGGTTCAGCCCATCACGAATCTTCACACACAGGTTCAGCCCATCACACATCTTCACACAGGTTCAGCCCATCACACATCTTCACACAGGTTCAGCCCATCACACATCTTCACACACAGGTTCAGCCCATCACACATGTTCACACACAGGTTCAGCCCATCACACACAGGTCCAGCCCATCACATATCTTCACACACAGGTTCATCCCATCACACATCTTCACACAGGTTCAGCCCATCACACACAGGTCCAGCCCATCACATATCTTCACACACAGGTCCAGCCCATCACACATCTTCACACAGGTTCAGCCCATCACACACAGGTCCAGCCCATCACATATCTTCACACACAGGTTCATCCCATCACACATCTTCACACACAGGTTCAGCCCATCACACATCTTCACACAGGTTCAGCCCATCACACATCTTCACACAGGTTCAGCCCATCACACATCTTCACACACAGGTTCAGCCCATCACACATCTTCACACAGGTTCAGCCCATCACACATCTTCACACACAGGTTCAGCCCATCACACATCTTCACACACAGGTTCAGCCCATCACACATCTTCACACAGGTTCAGCCCATCACACATCTTCACACAGGTTCAGCCCATCACACATCTTCACACACAGGTTCAGCCCATCACACATCTTCACACAGGTTCAGCCCATCACACATCTTCACACACAGGTTCAGCCCATCACGAATCTTCACACACAGGTTCAGCCCATCACACATCTTCACACAGGTTCAGCCCATCACACATCTTCACACAGGTTCAGCCCATCACACATCTTCACACACAGGCTCAGCCCATCACACATCTTCACACAGGTTCAGCCCATCACACATCTTCACACAGGTTCAGCCCATCACACATCTTCACACAGGTTCAGCCCATCACACATCTTCACACACAGGTTCAGCCCATCACACATCTTCACACAGGTTCAGCCCATCACACATCTTCACACAGGTTCAGCCCATCACACATCTTCACACAGGTTCAGCCCATCACACATCTTCACACACAGGTTCAGCCCATCACACATCTTCACACACAGGTTCAGCCCATCACACACAGGTTCAGCCCATCACACATCTTCACACACAGGTTCAGCCCATCACGAATCTTCACACACAGGTTCAGCCCATCACACATCTTCACACAGGTTCAGCCCATCACACATCTTCACACAGGTTCAGCCCATCACACATCTTCACACACAGGTTCAGCCCATCACACATCTTCACACACAGGTTCAGCCCATCACACATGTTCACACACAGGTTCAGCCCATCACACACAGGTCCAGCCCATCACATATCTTCACACACAGGTTCATCCCATCACACATCTTCACACACAGGTTCAGCCCATCACACATCTTCACACAGGTTCAGCCCATCACACATCTTCACACACAGGTTCAGCCCATCACACATCTTCACACACAGGTTCAGCCCATCACACATTTCCACACAGGTTCAGCCCATTACACACAGGTTCAGCCCATCACACACAGGTTCAGCCCATCACACATCTACACACACAGGTTCAGCCCATCACACATCTTCACACAGGTTCAGCCCATCACACACAGGTTCAGCCCATCACACATCTTTACACAGGTTCAGCCCATCACACATCTTTACACAGGTTCAGCCAATCACACATCTTCACACAGGTTCAGCCCATCACACATCTACACACAGGTTCAGCCCATCACACATCTTCACACACAGGTTCAGCCCATCACACACAGGTTCAGCCCATCACACATCTACATACACAGGTTCAGCCCATCACACATCTTCACATAGGTTCAGCCCATCACACATCTTCACACACAGGTTCAGCCCATCACACATCTTCACACACAGGTTCAGCCCATCACACATTTCCACACAGGTTCAGCCCACCACACACAGGTTCAGCCCATCACACACAGGTTCAGCCCATCACACATCTACACACACAGGTTCAGCCCATCACACATCTTCACACACAGGTTCAGCCCATCACACATCTACACACACAGGTTCAGCCCATCACACATCTACACACACAGGTTCAGCCCATCACACACAGGTTCAGCCCATCACACACAGGTTCAGCCCATCACACATCTTCACACACAGGTTCAGCCCATCACACATCTTCACACACAGGTTCAGCCCATCACACATTTCCACACAGGTTCAGCCCACCACACACAGGTTCAGCCCATCACACACAGGTTCAGCCCATCACACATCTACACACACACAGGTTCAGCCCATCACACATCTTCACACAGGTTCAGCCCATCACACACAGGTTCAGCCCATCACACATCTTTACACAGGTTCAGCCCATCACACATCTTTACACAGGTTCAGCCAATCACACATCTTCACACACAGGTTCAGCCAATCACACATCTACAGACAGGTTCAGCCAATCACACATCTTCACACACAGGTTCAGCCCATCACACACAGGTTCAGCCCATCACACACAGGTTCAGCCCATCACACATCTACACACACAGGTTCAGCCCATCACACATCTTCACACAGGTTCAGCCCATCACACACAGGTTCAGCCCATCACACATCTTCACACACAGGTTCAGCCCATCACACATCTACACACACAGGTTCAGCCCATCACACATCTTCACACAGGTTCAGCTTATCACACATCTTCACACAGGTTCAGCCCATCACACACAGGTTCAGCCCATCACACATCTACACACACAGTTTCAGCCCATCACACATCTTCACACACAGGTTCAGCCCATCACACATCTTCACACAGGTTCAGCCCATCACACACAGGTTCAGCAGATCACACAGGTTCAGCCCATCACACATCTTCACACAGGTTCAGCCCATCACACACAGGTTCAGCCCATCACACATCTTCACACACAGGTTCAGCCCATCACACATCTTTACACAGGTTCAGCCCATCACACATCTTCACACAGGTTCAGCCAATCACACACAGGTTCAGCCCATCACACAGGTTCAGCCAATCACACACAGGTTCAGCCCATCACACATCTTCACACAGGTTCAGCCCATCACACAGGTTCAGCCCATCACACACAGGTTCAGCCCATCACACAGGTTCAGCCAATCACACACAGGTTCAGCCCATCACACATCTTCACACACAGGTTCATCCCATCACACATCTTCACACAGGTTCAGCCCATCACACATCTTCAAACAGGTTCAGCCCATCACACATCTTCATGCAGGTTCAGCCCATCACACATCTTCATGCAGGTTCCGCCAATCACACATCTTCATGCAGGTTCAGCCTATCACACATAGGTTCAGCCAATCACACATCTTCATGCAGGTACAGCCCATCACACATAGGTTCAGCCCATCACACATCAAACAGCCCATCACCCATCTTCATGCAGGTTCAGCCTATCATCCATAGGTTCAGCCCATCACACTTCTTCACACACCAGTATTCTGTGTGGTAACCTGTGTGTGCTGGCTGACACAATGACAAACATAGACATGTTCAGCAATATACACATCCACTTACAGGTATTTACTCACAAGTCAGTGATCTATAAAAAGAAACAAATAAATATAACAAGTAGACTCAAGGCTAAATAAATGCACCATCAACAAGAACCATACATTTGTCATTTGGAAGGTACTTGTTGCCATGAAAACAGTGGGTAGTAACCAGCGCTCTGACCAACACATAACCCAGGTTACAACTTGTGTGGATTTCATATTATGCCATATTAGAATCTGAATAATTGGTACTGCATAAAACAGATGACTTCACATATGATACATCATACATAATCTTGTCATAATCACTTTTGATACTTTGACATTTAAGTATATGAAGCATGCACTGCACAGGACAGTATGCAGAGCGTCCAGTACATGTGGACGTGTGGCAGCTGGGATCACAACTCACTACAGTGTGCCAGTGTACAACTACGACATACAGACTTCTATGTAACATTGTACGGTCAGTTGTACAGGATCCTGTCCAACGGTCAACATCATATGGATAGGGCCATTAAGTCATTGGTACTTAATTACATCAAAATAGTACAACTGTACACTAGTGTGGAGTTTGTTCCTAGCTCCAAAGCAATAAAATACATTTAACAGTATAGTCAAAATGCAAACATAAATTGTTTGACATGACATCGGTTGCCCTTGACAGCATACTGATCATGTGACAACATGTAATAAGGCAGTTGAAGTTGCTTTGAAATGCAAGTCATAACAAACCGTTGATTTCAGCGTGAGATTTCTCCCAGTTGGATCTACCTCAAGAGATGACTATGTGGTCCAGTGGCTTTACTATGGGGCATACTTCAGTTGCTCAACATTCACACATCATACGGACATATTACTGTCTGACAGATCTCGAACTGTATCAGTCTCATACACATCTCACACAGTGGCACAGATTCATCTGAAACAGTCTGATATACATCTCACACAGTGGCATATAAGAGACCTCAGTTTGATATGGATATCACACAGACTGATATGGATATCACACAGACTGATATGGATATCACACAGACTGATATGGATATCACACAGTCTGATATGGATATCACAGTCTGATATGGATGCCACACAGTCTGATATGGATGCCACACTCTGATATCACACAGTCTGATATGGATAGCACACAGACTGATATGGATATCACACAGTCTGATATGGATATCACAGTCTGATATGGATGCCACGCAGTCTGATATGGATGCAACACAGTCTGATACGGTTGCCACACCCTGATATCACACAGTCTGATATGGATAGCACACAGACTGATATGGATATCACAGTCTGATATGGATGCCACACAGTCTGATATAGATGCAACACAGTCTGATATGGTTGCCACACCCTGATATCACACAGTCTGATATGGATATCACACAGTCTGATATGGATATCACACAGTCTGATATGGATATCACAGTCTGATATGGATGCCACGCAGTCTGATATGGATGCAACACAGTCTGATATGGTTTCAACACTCTGATATCACACAGTCTGATATGGATGCAACACAGTCTGATATGGATGTCACACAGTCTGATGTGGATATCACACAGTCTGATATGGATATCATACAGTCTGATATGAATAGCACACAGTCTGATATGGATATCACACAGTCTGATGTGGATATCACACAGTCTGATATGGATATCATACAATCTGATATGAATAGCACACAGTCTGATATGGATGCCACACAGTCTGATATGGATGCCACACAGTCTGATATAGATGCCACACAGTCTGATATGGATATCACACAGTCTGATATGGAAATCACACCGTCTTATACAGATCCTTCAGTCTGATATGGATATCACACAGTCTGATGTGGAAATCACACCGTCTTATACAGATCCTTCAGTCTGATATGGATATCACACAGTCTGATGTGGATGGCACACACTCTGATATGGATATCACACAGTCTGATATGGAAATCACACAGTCTTATACAGATCCTTCAGTCTGATATGGATATCACACAGTCTGATATGGATAGCACACAGTCTGATATGGATGGCACACAGTCTATTGTGGATGCCAAACAATCTGATATGGATAACACACAGTCTGATATAGATGCCACACAGTCTGATATAGATGCCACACAGTCTGATATGGATATCACACAGTCTGATATGGAAATCACACCGTCTTATACAGATCCTTCAGTCTGATATGGATATCACACAGTCTGATGTGGAAATCACACCGTCTTATACAGATCCTTCAGTCTGATATGGATATCACACAGTCTGATGTGGATGGCACACAGTCTGATATGGATATCACACAGTCTGATATGGAAATCACACAGTCTTATACAGATCCTTCAGTCTGATATGGATATCACACAGTCTGATATGGATAGCACACAGTCTGATATGGATGGCACACAGTCTATTGTGGATGCCAAACAATCTGATATGGATAACACACAGTCTGATATGGATGCCACACAGTCTGATATGGATGCCACACTCTGATATCACACAGTCTGATATGGATAGCACACAGACTGATATGGATATCACACAGTCTGATATGGATATCACAGTCTGATATGGATGCCACGCAGTCTGATATGGATGCAACACAGTCTGATATGGATATCACGCAGTCTGATGTGGATATCACACAGTCTGATATGGATATCATACAATCTGATATGAATAGCACACAGTCTGATATGGATGCCCAACAGTCTGATAGGGATGCCACACAGTCTAATATAGATGCCACACAGTCTGATATGGATATCACACAGTCTGATATGGAAATCACACCGTCTTATACAGATCCTTCAGTCTGATATGGATATCACACAGTCTGATGTGGAAATCACACCGTCTTATACAGATCCTTCAGTCTGATATGGATATCACACAGTCTGATGTGGATGGCACACAGTCTGATATGGATATCACACAGTCTGATATGGAAATCACACAGTCTTATACAGATCCTTCAGTCTGATATGGATACCACACAGTCTGGTATGGATAGCACACAGTCTGATATGGATGGCACACAGACTGATATGGATATCACACAGTCTGATATGGATATCACAGTCTGATATGGATGCCACACAGTCTGATATGGATGCCACACTCTGATATCACACAGTCTGATATGGATAGCACACAGACTGATATGGATATCACACAGTCTGATATGGATATCACAGTCTGATATGGATGCCACGCAGTCTGATATGGATGCAACACAGTCTGATATGGTTGCCACACCCTGATATCACACAGTCTGATATGGATAGCACACAGACTGATATGGATATCACAGTCTGATATGGATGCCACACAGTCTGATATGGATGCCACACAGTCTGATATGGATGCCACACAATCTGATATGGATGCCACACAATCTGATATGGATATCACAGTCTGATATGGATGCCACACTGTCTGATATGGATATCACACAGTCTGATATAGATATCACACAGTCTTATATGGGTGGCACACAGTCTGATATGGATGCCACAAAGTCTGATATTACACAGTCTGATATGGATGCCACACAATCTGATATGGATATCACAGTCTGATATGGATGCCACACTGCCTGATATGGATATCACACAGTCTGATATGAATAGCACACAGTCTTATATGGATGGCACACAGTCTGATATGGATATCACACAGTCTTATATGGATGGCACACAGTCTGATATGGATGCAACACAGTCTGATATGGATGCCACACAGTCTGATATGGATGCCACACAGTCTGATATGGATATCACACAGTCTGATATGGATGCCACACAGTCTGATATGGATGCCACACAGTCTGATATGGATGCCACAGTCTGATATGGATATCACACAGTCTGATATAGATGCCACACAGTCTGATATGGATGCCACACAGTCTGATATGGATATCACACAGTCTGATATGGATGCCACACAGTCTGATATGGATGCCACACAGTCTGATATGGATGCCACACAGTCTGATATGGATATCACACGGTCTGATACAGATCCTTCAGTCTGATATGGATATCACACAGTCTGATATGGATAGCACACAGTCTGATATGGATATCACACTGCCTGATATTGATATCACACAGTCTAATATGAATAGCACACAGTCTTATATGGATGGCACACAGTCTATTGTGGATGCCAAACAATCTGATATGGATAACACAAAGTCTGATATGGATGCCACACAGTCTGATATGGATATTACACAGTCTGATATGGATGCCACACAGTCTGATATGGATATCACACAGTCTGATATGGATATCACACAGTCTGATCTGGATAGCACAGCCTGATATGGATATCGCATAGTCTGATATGGATATCACACAGTCTGATATGAATAGCACACAGTCTGATCTGGATAGCACAGCCTGATATGGATATCGCATAGTCTGATATGGATATCACACCGTCTGATATGAATAGCACACAGTCTGATCTGGATAGCACAGCCTGATATGGATATCGCACAGTCTGATATGGATATCACACAATCTGATATGGATAGCACACAGTCTGATATGGATAGCACACAATCTGATATGGATATCGCACAGTCTGATACAGATCCTTCAGTCTGATATGGATAGCACACAGTCTGATATGAATATCACACTGCCTGATATGGATATCACACGGTCTGATATGGATACCACACCGTCTGATATGGATATCACACAGTCTAATACAGATCCTTCTTATATGGATAGCACACAGTCTTATATGGATATCACACAGTCTTATATGGATATCACACAGCCTGATATGGATATCACTCAGTCTGATATGGATGGCAAACAGTCTGATATGGATACCACACAGTCTGATATGGATGCCACATAGTGTGATATGGATAGCACACAGTATGATATGGATATCACACAGTATGATATAAATATCACACAGTCTAATATGATATCACATGGTCTGATATGAATAGCGCACAGTCTGATATCAATAGTACATAGTCTGATATGGATGCCACACAGTATGATATGAATAGCACACAGTCTGATATGGATGCTACACAGTATGATACTGATCCCACACAACCGATGCCATACAGTTTGACGGGAGTACATCACATTGATCAAATTGACATTTCGATGATACACAAACTGATTCTCATATGTCAAGTGAATTTTTAAAATATCTAAAATGACTGATTATCCATATCAAAAGTGGAGAAATATCATTCAAAGTCATCTTTATATCACATGTCTAAAACATAAATGTCCACTCTGTCATAAACCTTTCACCTGTTACAAATGTCACATTGCTGGTGATATGCTGCAGGCCACTGTCTGCTCCCAAGGCCAAGTCCTACCCGTAATTATGCCCAATGTAAACATCAGACCAAGCCCCACACGGACACACTGTCATGCAGGCATCACCAATCACTTCATGTGTTTAGAATTGACAAAAACCGTTGCTCCTATCTGACACTAACATCACTGGTTGAGTGTGTTCATGTCTGCCACCAGTATGTTGAAGTGCCTCCCAATCCAGTCGACCTAGCTACACAAATATGAGGTTGATCTTGTGCTGATGACTTCAGGAAGTGCAGCACTTCAGTAACTGTCAGGAGGATCTATCTTCATCTTCATCTTTGTCTTTCTCTGTGTTTTCTGGAGACTGCTCGGAGATCTGCTTCTTGCTCTGTTCCTCTGCTAGCTGTTGCCAGTGCTCTCGGTTCTCTTGACAGCCACACAGGAGAGGATCCAAGTTTCCAGATACACGACTGAATGCCTGTGAGAAGAACACAACATCTGTCCATTACACAAGACCACTCTGACTCCCTCATGTACATGATACGGGAAGGATTTCCACCCTTATACATGTTGCAGTGTACATCATACGGGACACCCATGGACATCCGTGGTAGAATAGGTCTTCAGCAACCCATGCTTGCTGTACTTGGTTGATACATATCATTGTATCCCAATTGCGTCGATATACACCCTGCAGTGAACATCTAGGGGAAGGGTTCCCCCTTTATACACCCTGCAGTGAACATCATATGGGAAGGGTTCCCCCTTTATACACCCTGCAGTGAACATCATATGGGAAGGGTTCCCCCTTTATACACCCTGCAGTGAACATCATATGGGAAGGGTTCCCCTTTATACACCCTGCAGTGAACATCATATGGGAAGGGTTCCCCTTTGTACACCCTGCAGTGAACATCATATGGGAAGGGTTCCCCCTTTATACACCCTGCAGTGAACATCATATGGGAAGGGTTCCCCCTTTATACACCCTGCAGTGAACATCATATGGGAAGGGTTCCCCCTTTATACACCCTGCAGTGAACATCATATGGGAAGGGTTCCCCTTTATACACCCTGCAGTGAACATCATATGGGAAGGATTCCCCTTTATACACCCTGCAGTGAACATCATATGGGAAGGGTTCCCCTTTATACACCCTACAGTGAACGTCATATAGAAAGGATTTCAACCTTATCCACTGTAAAGTTAATATAATCTGGGAAGTATATAGGATTTTACAAAATATCTTTGTTACCTGTGTTACACCTTTAATAAATCAACTTGATTGTATTTCCTTATATCTGTGTGTTGTCTTTGTGCTAAACAAAAAGTGGACTACATTAACATGCTTAAACATACACTTTTCTGTACTCCTTGTCCATTTACGCCTCCCCTAGTGATGCCCCTGAATCCTACTATTAAAAGCAGGTCCTTCCATGTGTGAATGACCCATACATTTGACAGCAGGCTACACCATGTTTTATTATGGTTGTTGTCCACCATCTTTATGCAATGTCCCATTTTACACTTAATGCTTTTAGGTGCAACATCACTAACCTCATAAACAGGCATACAGATGTTGTCTATGAAGCCCACTTGCATAGCCGGCAGCTTGTCCTTCTGAGTCCGGTCCATCATCGCCTGTGCATACATCCACACAGATCACTTATAAAAGTATTTGCATAAAATGATGAAAACAGAAGCACAACAGAAGCAACAACATCCTTTCCTACTGAGGGGATGGCTGTGAAGTGTAGCTGAGTTATCTCTCACCTGATGACTCAATCTACGCATGGGATTGTGAAAGCCAACCAAGAGTTATGATCTGAGGTGACTTCAAAAGGGTGTATTATCCTCGAGAATGTATCCACTATATAGGGGCTACTTGAGCACATTCTTCAATAACTAAAATATTGCTTGCCATTGTTGATGGGCCTATTATGAGCAAACAGAGTCCGGAATAAAGAAAAGAGTATGATTTTCTGAACATTATTTTTAATGCAAAGCTATCAACTCTCATGTACATTCAATTTACAGAATTAACATATTAATTACAACGTCACTGCACAAGCTATGTGCAGGATATCATCAGTATGACAGATCCGTCACACAGACACAGGCGTGAGGTCATACCAACACAGGAAGTTGATTTGGATGCAGCATAAAGTGTGGCAAACATGTTATTATTAGGCTGTCGTATCAGACTGTCATATTTTTCTGAAGGCAACTACATACAGTCAAATATTTTGAGAGTATTAGCTTTCTCTAAAAATAACAAAAAACGCAGTCATTAGACATGAATGGGTGATTCCAAGTTCCCATCCTAGATCATCTCTATATGTAGAGCCAGCTATGTAAATCAGTGGACAATAACTTGAAAACCTTAACATGTATAGGAAAGTCTGGTATTCATTATGCCACATCTAGTTGATTTGTATACAAAGTTTCACGGAGAAACAAACCACACCCTCAACTTGGTCATAGTCAAAAATGTTTCCATAAAATAACAAAATATATATAAAAAATTAGTGCCACTTCTATCAGCATTCATATGCAAATGTTTTCAGTATAAATACTGAGGACAAAAATCAAACGATTTGAAAATAATTAAATAAGATTGTTATCATCCAAAGAAAACTTTTACTTGCAAAAGTTCAGTTCCTCAGTGAAGCAATTTACAGAATTTAGAGAGCTAAGTATGCATTTTGAGAGAATTTAAGAGCATGGTCAAAACGAGGTCAAAATATGAAATACTGTGTAAAACAGAACATTAGTGATGAGTCCTACTACTAAACATACACCAAATTGTATTACATTTTGAACAAAAATAGTTGAGTAATGGCAATAAAACCGAAAATTGGATTTTAAACCATTTAAAAAATTAGGGTCATCATTGGTGCTGTGTTTGCAAGGTTTAATGACGATAAGGATTAGTGATTGGTTGGGAGGGCTTCTCCAGAAAAGAACTGGATGGACAGATGGATGGACGGATGGATGGATTGATGGATGGAAGGAAGGGCAGATGGACATGCTGATAGCGATACACCCTACATTATATTCCTGGGGCATAACAATTGATGAAAGTTTACAATTTATAACATACAGCATTCCCTCAGGTGACAAAGGTATGTGTACCAGGGAAACTATACACAGTGAAAGTCTGTTCTTAATACATTACCATAGGCTCTATCTTCAGCTCTGATCTCTCAATATCTCCTTGTTCAAAGAATTCACTAGCAACTAGCTCTGCAACCTGTTAACACATATTGGTTAAGTCTTTTTAAAGAGTTTGATTACAAAAACACATATGATGACAAGGTACCCTCCCAATTGTCAGACGGCTTATACCAGGCTTGGGTAAGGTTGAGTGCACTAGTACCGGTAATTGTTCCTTGTTTACCTTCTTGTAAAGTGGAACAGCCCTACACAAATGACAGAAACCAAATCATTATTGTTCAACCCAGCTTGAGCAAATGTCCAACTGCATCCCAAAATTCAAGTAGTCTTCTGCCCAGTGCACAACTTCTCTTTCAGACGCAGCAGTCTCCCTCAGACTGTTTGTACACCTTCCTGGGTGGGGGAGCAGCAGCCTCCCTCAGACTGTCTGTACACCTTCCTGGGTGGGGGAGCAGCAGCCTCCCTCAGACTGTCTGTACACCTTCCTGGGTGGGGGAGCAGCAGTCTCCCCTCAGACTGTCTGTACATCTCCCTGGGTAGGGGAGCAGCAGTCTCCCCTCAGACTGTCTGTACACCTTCCTGGGTGGGGGAGCAGCAGCCTCCCTCAGACTGTCTGTACACCTTCCTGGGTGGGGGAGCAGCACCCTCCCTCAGACTGTCTGTACACCTTCCTGGGTGGGGGAGCAGCAGCCTCCCTCAGACTGTGTGTACACCTTCCTGGGTGGGGGAGCAGCACCCTCCCTCAGACTGTCTGTACACCTTCCTGGGTGGGGGAGCAGCAGCCTCCCTCAGACTGTCTGTACACCTTCCTGGGTGGGGGAGCAGCACCCTCCCTCAGACTGTCTGTACACCTTCCTGGGTGGGGGAGCAGCAGCCTCCCCTCAGACTGTCTGTACACCTCCCTGGGTGGGGGAGCAGCAATCTCCCTCAGACTGTCTGTACACCTCCCTGGGTGGGGGAGCAGCACCCTCCCTCAGACTGTCTGTACACCTTCCTGGGTGGGGGAGCAGCAGTCTCCCTCAGACTGTCTGTACACCTTCCTGGGTGGGGGAGCAGCAGCCTCCCTCAGACTGTCTGTACACCTTCCTGGGTGGGGGAGCAGCAGCCTCCCTCAGACTGTCTGTACATCTCCCTGGGTAGGGGAGCAGCAGTCTCCCCTCAGACTGTCTGTACACCTCCCTGGGTGGGGGAGCAGCACCCTCCCTCAGACTGTCTGTACACCTTCCTGGGTGGGGGAGCAGCAGCCTCCCCTCAGACTGTCTGTACACCTTCCTGGGTGGGGGAGCAGCAGTCTCCCCTCAGACTGTCTGTACACCTTCCTGGGTGGGGGAGCAGCAGCCTCCCTCAGACTGTCTGTACACCTTCCTGGGTGGAGGAGCAGCACCCTCCCTCAGACTGTCGGTACACCTCCCTGGGTGGGGGAGCAGCAGCTTCCCCTCAGACTGTCTGTACACCTCCCTTGGTGGGGGAGCAGCAGCCTCCCTCAGACTGTCTGTACACCTCCCTGGGTGGGGGAGCAGCAGCCTCCCTCAGACTGTCTGTACACCTCCCTGGGTGGGAGAGCAGCACCCTCCCCTCAGACTGTCTGTACACCTCCCTGGGTGGGGGAGCAGCACCCTCCCTCAGACTGTCTGTACACCTCCCTGGGTGGGGGAGCAGCAGCCTCCCTCAGACTGTCTGTACACCTCCCTGGGTGGGGGAGCAGCAATCTCCCTCAGACTGTCTTTACACCTCCCTGGGTGGGGGAGCAGCAGCCTCCCTCAGACTGTCTGTACATCTCCCTGGGTGGGGGAGCAGCAGCCTCCCTCAGACTGTCTGTACACCTCCTTGGGTGGGGGAGCAGCAATCTCCCTCAGACTGTCTTTACACCTCCCTTGGTGGGGGAGCAGCAGCCTCCCTCAGACTGTCTGTACACCTCCCTGGGTGGGGGAGCAGCAGCCTCCCTCAGACTGTCTGTACACCTTCCTGGGTGGAGGAGCAGCATTCTCCCTCAGACTGTCTGTACACCTTCCTGGGTGGGGGAGCAGCAGCCTCCCCTCAGACTGTCTGTACACCTCCCTGGGTGGGGGAGCAGCAGTCTCCCTCAGACTGTCTGTACACCTTCCTGGGTGGGGGAGCAGCAGCCTCCCCTCAGACTGTCTGTACACCTCCCTTGGTGGGGGAGCAGCAGCCTCCCTCAGACTGTCTGTACATCTTCCTGGGTGGGGGAGCAGCAGCCTCCCTCAGACTGTCTGTACACCTCCCTGGGTGGGGGAGCAGCACCCTCCCTCAGACTGTCTGTACACCTCCCTGGGTGGGGGAGCAGCCCCCTCCCTCAGACTGTCTGTACACCTTCCTGGGTGGGGGAGCAGCAGCCTCCCCTCAGACTGTCTGTACACCTCCCTTGGTGGGGGAGCAGCAATCTCCCTCAGACTGTCTGTACACCTTCCTGGGTGGGGGAGCAGCAGCCTCCCCTCAGACTGTCTGTACACCTCCCTTGGTGGGGGAGCAGCAATCTCCCTCAGACTGTCTGTACACCTTCCTGGGTGGGGGAGCAGCACCAGAGTCTATCTGGCCAACTTAGCACCTTCTGACTTCTCAATCTCTGGAACCAGTTCAACAACTCTGAAGAGGTTAGGGTGCTGATATGGGAAACTGTGATTTCCAGGACTATAGAAACCCTTGGATTAAATGGAAAATGTGATGATTCTTCATAAACAGAGGTCTCTTACGTAATGGGGAAAAGTGGCTTGTAAATTGTAAAGAGCTAGCAGTGATGAATGAATTATGTCACTTTTCTGTATGCGAACATGAGTTCATGCGTAAAGGTCTTAAGGTCATGAATGTCTTGTATTAAATATAAAGTTGTGTAATTTTACGTTAAAGACATGTCAATTATTTGATCCATTCGTAACTTTCACAACGTGTTATGAGTGTGAAGTTTGGAGTGTTAAAAGTAAACCTGATATTGGTATTGTAGATATTGTGATCTTTGTAAACAACATTTAACATTGATGTTATCGAGGATGAGTCTAATTTCTTATTAATATGTCTAAAGTTCAACAATTATAGAGTTACATATATTACTGATAATTACTGGCAAAACCCCAGTGAAGATTATTATTATATTATAATTATTATTATACATTTATAACCTGCAGGGACCCAGGTACTTGTATCTGATCAAATGTATTTTTTTAATTTGTTCCCTGACCAGTGGATCCATTTGCATTCCAGTTATCATTTTCAACTCCATGGGGAGTATACAACACAAGCCGCCTACGGGCTCTAGAGGGTTTTTACAGCCACCTCATATATTGGGCACCCATTCCCTCCTGGGTGAACAGAGGCACATTTGAACTAAGTCACTTGTCCAGGGTGACACCACACGTTTTGACACTTGAGTTGCGGGTGTATGTACGTATTTGTGATTCCACCATCTGGTCATCTACCATCGGATGAGGGTTTTTTTTCGAGTGCACAGGGTGGAGGTACTGCACACAAGGGGAAGTGACAACATTGTAAAGACCTGTAAACATTGATTGTCAATCAATCAATCATTTATTTCTTAAAAAAACCCACCCATGGTGGTACAAGAGAAAAAGTTTCATAACATATTTTGATAATATTTTATTAATTAATATTGAACAAGATGACAGTTATACTGTACAAATATTTGGTGACATTTGAACATTTTCTTCAAAATGTCTATGAACATTTAAACAGAATCACGTACATAAACAAGCATACATATATACAGTCACACTCAAAGGTACTTATCTATTACACATATGAATTTTGAAAGGTTCTTGATTTCTTTTACAGTTCTGGTACCCAACAATTTTTGGTGTTGTATTATATTAGGAAACTGTGTATATTTAATTGAGATAAGTTTAGATCAAGATTCACGGAACACTTCACATTTAAATAGGTAGTGGAATTCATCGGCTATAGTTGGTGATATACAAAGTTAAATTCCTAAAATGTCCTAAGTTCTCTATCTCTACATGCAAACGGCCAACTTCAACAAACACATGTACAGGTTCCATGTTTCACAATAGGATAATAAATTTGTAAAGATGGGAGAAGAAAGATTCCAAATGATGGTATATCTATTAAATATTTATAATTATATCCTTTTGAACTTCTCTCAAAGTCAGATCTCCAATTTTGATATAGCTGATCTCTTAATGTTTTTTTTCTATGTGAGCAGTTAGCCACTGGCTGGAGACACTTGGTGGGTCATACAATACGTAGTACAAACCACAGTCACTCAGTATTTGCCTCACATTTCTTATCCAGGCATTTTGTTCATTGTTAGATAAAATATGCAAATGAGCAAACGTATAGATCAGTTGTGATAATTTTGGTGCAGTTTATGCCAAAAACTAACAACCCATTTAGCAGCATAAATCGATAAAGGTATTCTACCTAGTTCTCTATAGATTTAGTTTAAGGAATTTAAAATGAGTCTTTTCAATTATGTTCATATTTTCGTATGCCCAAATTTCACAGCCATTTTAATAATATTGATTATGTATTTTAATGCTTTTTTATTCTTTCTAGCATTTAATTCACTTGAGAAGAATGCAAAATATTTTCTATTAAAGGTCAAACAATTTATAAACATATACTGAGTCCAATAAGTTGTGTTTGATCTTTGCCCGACTGCTTATGTTCTATGGAGCAGCTTTTTCAGCGATACACTACACAAGCAGCTGGGCACAGATCAAACACAACTTATTGGACACAATCATAATCTGGTTCTTCTGTACCACCTAACGAGTTGGAGTATCTTACTCTGCTCACCGTTGGGAGATGCTCATCAATAAAGTAGGCATAGGTAAGACAAGGCAGTGATACTGGTACACTTCACTGACCTGTCTGATGCCTGGCACGTCGGACAATTGGGAAGTCTGACAATTGGGAGTGAAGCGATGACAAACATGAGAACCATAGAAATAAGCAGGGTAAAATGTAGTCCTTCCATCAAACCATGTGTAAAGGTCAGGTAACAGACACACTCAGCGAGCACACATTCGGCCAGCACACGGGGATGTTACAGACACACTCAGCAGCACACAGGGTATGTAACAG